TCTATTGATTACACAAAGACGAATTTTAGCTCATTGGATTCGTCTCACTGAGACGAGTCGAATGGTGGTAAAATGATGTCACTAGCATCGATAGATCGTTTTCTAATGCGAATTGTTTAAGAAACACTCACCATGGGCTATCTCACGATCTATCGATGATAGAGACTTGATTTTACCACCATTCGACGCTTCTCGATGAGAGGATTCCAACGAGCTATGTCTCGTCCTTGTACGATCACTGGATAGTCGTATATTCGTTTTTTTGCATTTTTTCTTAATTTCAGATAGAACCGAACCGAACCGGACGGTTCCAAGTCCAAAACCGAACCGAGAACTGAACCGAATTTTTTGCCGGTTCCGGATCGGTTTCCGGTTCAAACTGGAACCGTTCGGAGCTTTAATTGTTAATAATATTTTTTGTTTTCTTATAAACCAAACTATACCACCAGTTATTATTAATTAGTAAACACATCTGATCTTGAGCTTTTTTTCCCACTCTATAATACTTTGATAAAATGTAATTTTCATTTAATGAATTTTCAGACTGTACTAAATCCAACTCAATTGAAATATCATCAAGTACTACAATTTGATCTTTCTGTAAATCTGAATAATTGTTCTTTTTTAAAGTTTGTTTATCCTGTTTTAAGTGTTTAACCTGTTGGTGAGAGGATTTGAAATAATGATCCATATTTTCAGATTCATTTAATTTTTCTTTTTTTCCAATATTTCTAATCTTTTCCCATGCAATAGTAGCATTACATCTTGATATCCAAATTAGTTCTTTAAAGTAAATAATAAAGGAGTCCAGAAGTAAAGCCAAGAATAAAATGTTTTTTGTTTCTAAGAATCCAAATGTTTGTTTTGAAATTTTGGAAATATTGGTGTTAATTTTAACTTCCAAGACCAATGAGCTAAAATCAATAAATTTTTTGTTGTCATATTGTAAGGGAGCTTACAGATATTACGTAATTATTAAAGGGGAAGGGGAATAACTAAAATCTTACGTTACATTTAATAAAATATATAATTTATAAATATTATAATTTAATTGGTTATTAAATCTGACAAGAAGGTGAGGAGTAAGTTTATATTAAACTGAATATTACGTAATATATGTAACTCCCTAATCCTAGTATCTGGTTTAATTTCTTACTTATAGCTTTAGGTGTGTTTTCTGGTATATTACTTTATTTTTAAATTATAGGAATTACATCATCTTACATTTTACTAGGATCCTGCTTACTTATAAGATAGGTCACCCCCAGGTATACATGGCCTGGTAATTCTATAATTTTGTATAAATACGTAATTCGTAATCCTGGTAATTAATTACCAGATTTTTCAAAAAATACGTAAATACGTAATTATTTACGTATAACGTAATTAACATAAATATTATTGGTTAATTTATAAATAATAATTATATATAAATAATTAATAGAAAATCATGCGAAATTATGTTGATTAACATTTAAATTAATAAAGTATTCTAACTATAAATAGTAATCTATTTACTAAATAAAAATACTATAAAAAGTAATCATTCGTTCTTTTTTTTAATATTGAACAAAGAATTTATATTTTTTCACGTTATAGTATACTTCTTTTAAATCTTCTTAAAATATGGGTGACAGACGTGATAGTAATGATAATCAAGATGCAATTATTGATCAAAATAAAAAAAAACGTGGTCATCCAAAAACTGATATTTGGGATTATTTTAAGGAAGGACCAAGAAATAGAGGTCACTGTACGGCAGAGTGTAATTTTTGTGGCTGGAAACAACAAGTAGGGCAGCCTATCGAAATGCAAGGACATATTGCTTTAAATTGTTTAAAGGTATCACCTGAAATAAAAGCAATTTTTTTGGAAAAAGTAAAGAATAATAGACAACTTGCATATAAAAATAAAATTATTAAAGTTGATCACAAATCACAATCAGCCAAAGATAGATGAAAAATTTGATTCAACCAAAATTGATCAAGTTAAAGTTGAAATGGCAAATCGGGCTATTGTAAAATTTTTTGTTTGCTGCGGCATCCCTTTTCATATAATCGAAAACCCTTTTTTTATTGATCTCCTTCGCATATTATGTCCTGGGTATAATCTACCATGCAGACAAACTCTTTCAGAAGATATGCTTAATGCAGAAATCTCTCATGTAATTACCGAAATAAATTTTAAATTAAGCCACGAAAAAAATCTTACATTAGGTAATAATAATTATTTTATAGATTTTACATAATTAAATATTATAATTTAATAATAATTTATTAACAGTTAATTTTAATTTCTTAATATTTAAAGGAGTAGACGGTTGGACTAGTGCTAGTGGACAATCACTTTACGCATTTATTATTATTACTAGTGAAAGAAAAGAATACGTTCATTCAGTTTAAAATTTATCAAATTATTCATACACGGGAGATTTTTTAGCAAACAAAATAATTGAAGTAATCGAAAATGTTGGTACTACAAAATTTGCAGGAGTAGTATCAAATAATGCATCTACAATGGTCAAGGCAAAAAAACTAGTTAATGATCGATATGGATTTATAATGCCAATTCGATGCATTGCACATCATATAAATCTATTAACTAACGATATTTGTAAATTAGAGTTTGCTCAATCAATATTGAAAAAATGTATGAAATTAGTTCATTTTTTCAAAGCATCACATCGGGCAGGTGCAGAATTGATAAATGAAATAAAAGAAAATATGGTCAAAGGTGGGAAATTGAAAGGATATTGCCAAACAAGATGGATGACTGCATTTGATTGTGTTTCTTCAGTTTTAAGATGTGAAGAAGCTCTAAAAAATGTTGGTATTTATTAATTATATTTATTTATTTATTTATTTAATTTATTATAATTAATTTATTTTTAATTTTAGATAGCAAATAATAATTCAGATTATTTAAAGAGGACCCCGGATATCTAATATAAAGGTCATAATGGACTTTTGGCCAAAAACACCCCTTTTTGCTGAAACTCAAAAAATCGTTTTTTGTAAATATCTCAGCATCCAGTAATTCAATTTTAATGAACTTTTTTTTATTTTGTAGCCCTCATTTAGCTCTACAATTTAAAAAAAAGTTCATCAAAATTGGACCACTGGATGCCGAGATATTTACAAAAAAGATTTTTTGAGCCCTGAAAAATGGGCCAATCTGCCGAAAGTGTGACTTATGACCTGTTTTGGAGATATCCGGGGTCCTATTTAAAGCAAAATATTAAAGAAATTATAACAAGACGTTTTTTTATGGATGCTGAAGAATTACAATTAATTCTTAAGCCAATAAAAGAAGCTATCAAATATCTAGAAATGAAAAATGCAACATTAGCAGATTGTTTCTTACAATTAATAAAATTATCTTATTCAATCAAAAATTTATCAGAAACTCATACTACTTTCTGACAACAATGTATTAAAGCATTTAATAAAAGGTGGACACAGTTCGATTTTAGGTTATATATGTTAGCCTATTTACTTCACCCATTATACCATGGTATGTATTTGATTAAAATAACTTGACTTTTTATTTTATTTTAATCAATTAATTATTAATTATAAATAGGTAAAGGATTCCGAAATCAAGTATGCCGAAAAGTAGTTTATTGGGCAATCGAAAATATATGGATAAAAATGGACGGTAGAGAAAATTCCAGTTCCAAATTAATCGGACAAATTGCTGCTTTTCGTAACAATCTTCCTCCTTATAATGACGAATTTATTCCTAAATATTATACAGTTGAACATTGGTGGAATTACGTAGAACAAGATGAAGGAGAAGAAAATTTTATCCAACAACTTGCATTAAAAGTATTTTCAATAACTCCACATAATGCAGGATGCGAGAGAATATTTTCAGTAATGGGCTGGTATATAAACAAAAGGAGAACTCGGTAACTATTATTATTTTATTATATTATTGCCATAGTTATTAATTTTTTTTGAATTTTTAAGTAATTCCTTTCAATTAGATTGAGCGTAAATCATTTACAAAACCTTACGAAACTCCACACATACTATGTTTCAAATGCGAAAACTGAATTAAAGTATACTGCTAAAGATATGAATGCTAAAAATGATGAAGAGTTTTATCAATTGGTACGAAATGGTATATATCAAAATATTAATGATGAAATTGAAGAGAAAGAATTTGATGGTGAAGATGAAGATTATGATGATACAGAAGACGAACTTGTTGATATAGATGAGTACGAAAAATTTGGCTATAAAAATAATGATAATGTTTTACAAAATGAAAATTATTTTAATTTTGTATCAAGGGAGTTAGTGGAATTATTAAAACTTCAGGAGCCGCAAGTAATTATTGAACCTGTAAATAGTGATCATATTATTGATCACGGTAACAAAAATTTCGATATAGAAGAATTATTAGACCAACAATTTAATGATGATGATAATGTTTAGATAGTTTATACTCTATCGTTGTATATTTTGATTTGTTTTATTTCTTTGTATATTTTTTTTCAAAATTTTGAATAAAAGCTTTAACAATTTTGCGTTTAACATTATTTTATTTAATTTATTTTTAACGATCTTATATAATTTTCAATGACTTTATTTAATTAACAGTTTTTATTTAAGGCTTAACGATACTTTAATAATATTTAAAGATCTAATTCAATAATGTTAACAATCCATTTTAATTACATGAACTAAAAATTTAGATTGCTGAATATACGCCAATATGAACTACTATGACAGAAGTTCTATTTTCTACAAAAAAAAATAAAAAAAAAGAAACGTTAGTACATTTATTCAAAGTAAATTCAAAAGAACTCGCCCCTATATACTTACATGTGTCCTAAAATATCTCCAGTAAGCAAAATCTACGAAAAAATAAAAAAATAAACGTTCTTACATTTTCTTCAAAGTAAATTTCAAAAGAACCCACCCTCATACACTTACACGTGTCTTAGAAAGCAAAATCTTCAAAAAAAATTAAAAAAAAGAAACGTTAATACGTTTCTTCTAAGTAAATTTGAAAGAACTCGCCCTCATACACTTATATGTGTCCTAAAATATCTCTAGTAAGCAAAATCTACGAAAAAATAAAAAAAATAAACGTTCTTACGTTTTCTTCAAAGTGAATTTCAAAAGAATTCACTCTCATATACTTACACGTGTCTTAGAAAGCAAAATCTACAAAAAAAATTAAAAAAAAGAAACATTAGTACGTTTCTTCAAAATAAAATTCAAAGAACCCACTACGCTTACCCACATTCTAGAAGGTTCCTGGAAACTGAAACTTACAATAAAATGAAAAAATGTTAATATATTTTAAAGAAATTTTAAAAATTCAGAAGCAAGCATGTCTTCCACCTACCATTTTTCGAAATTCATACCGCCCTTAAAGAAAAAAAGAAGAAAGGAACATAAGAGACGTTCCTATAAGTTTGAATTAAAAAAATTTTTTTTCGAAAATAATGAATCTGATCGGCCAGATACATTTAGATTATTTACATTATTTACGCATATTGTAAATAATTACATCAAACGTAATTATTTATGAGTGCATTTGATTAATTACGAAGTCATAAATAATTACGTATAATGTAAATAATTACGTTAATCATAATTAATTACGAAATATGAAATTATTTACGTATTTTGAATTACGAATTACGTTTTTGGCTGATGATTTACCAGGCCATGTATACCCCCAGGCCTAAAATAAAAATCATATATAAAATTCTTTGCAGATTCTACTATAAAAGGAAATTTTATGTGTAAAAACTATTAGTAAAGTGCCAATTTTTTACAGTGACCTTTATTATAAGTAAGCGGGATCCTATTTTACTTTTAATTATAGGCATAGATTCTTATTAATATCACATTCAATAAAATGATATCTGTTTTCTTCTTTGTTAGCATTGCACCTGGGATAAACAAAATCTTTGTATATATTTGGTTTTCGCTGTAATAGGATAGTACCTATTTTTTTATTTTATTATTATGTTTACATTCATTAATTTACTCTATTCTATCTATCTAACTACTTGTTGTTAATGGTTTGGAATATTATTCCAGTTGGTTCAATTCCAACAAACAACTTTTTCTAAAGTTTTTATGCAAATTCTTTCAAAACTATTGTTTGAGAAGTATTATACTAACACCAAACGATTTTGACTTAGTAAAATTGTGAGGTGAAACATTATTTCGTTCTCTATAGAAAAAAAAGAAGAATGTTTAGTAAACGTTCTTAACAAAAAATATTAAAAAAAAATAAGTTCTGGTACCTTGTGATAATTTCATCTTGAGAGAATTACTTACAAGAAAAAGAAAAAAGTAACGTTAAAAATGTTATATTTCTTTAATATAATTATACTTCTCTGCTAATTAATTATGTCATATTTCAGCGAATAGACCAATTCACTATTTATTATAAAATTACTATGAATTAATTACGTTTGTCAAAATACATTACATTTGTTAAAATAAATTTAATTAGTATTTTGTCATTTTGACGAAAAGTATAAATATAATTAGACACTATACTCTTCCCCATATACTTTACCGGATTCTTCTAAATTTTTAGGAATCCAGTAATCTAAAAAAAATGAAAAAAGAAATGTCAATATGTTTCTTTAATACAATTAAATGCCATACACTCCTCCCATATACTTTACTGGATTATTCTAAGTCTAATAATCTGAGAAAATGAAAAAGAAACGTTAGTATGTTTCTTTAACATAATTGAACGTCATACATCACCCATATACTATACCAGATTCTTCCAAATTTCTAGGAGTCTGGTAATCTTAAAAAAATGAAAAAAAAGAAACGTTAATACATTTCTTTAACAATGCTCCATATATCTAAGTCTGATTTATTAAAAAAATATTAAGTATTGCAAAAATACTTACTGAATTTAAATACCAAGCTCAATATATCTTACAAAAAAAGAAAAAGAAATATTAGAACATTTCTAATAAAAAAAATTAAGTTTCGTAATTACGAAACTTACTATATTATGAAACCTACTATTTCGTCCTACAGATTCTACAAAGAAAAAATAAAAAGAACATTAGAAATGTTTTTTGAAAAATAAAAAAAATATTGAAAATTTTGAAACTTACTCTCTCTTAGCATCCCAGTCCAGTTATCAAAAGCTGAAGGAAGTCTACAAAAATAAATAAAGAAACATTGGTAACGTTTCTTTAAAAAAAAATAAAAATAAAAGAATCAAAATTTCAAAATGAAACTTCAAAACCTAACTGAAATCTAATATTCCAGAGAGTATCTACAAAAAAATACTGGTTAAAATTGATGCTATTGGGTACATATCGGGTACCTAATATATGTATAATATATGTGATATATGTGTATGATATTTAACAATACTACACATATCGGATACCTGATATGTGTAGTATAAATGTAGAAAAACGGTGACACATCCTACAAATATCATATATACATCATATACATATCGGGTAGTCAAATATCAGTGACATATCTTATAAATATCATACATTTAATACACATATATAGGGTAGTAAAATATCAGTGATATATATTATAGATATCATACATTTAACACACATATATCGGGTAGTAAAATATTGGTAATATATATATAGATATTGTATATTTATATCATGTCAGATAGTAGCTATATACTATATTTTTATTGTATACGTTTTACAATTTCATATTAAAACTAATAGCTTTTTTTTTTAAAATTCAGACTAAATAAAATTTAATTTTATTAAAATTTATAAATTTTATTCACATAAAAGCAATAATACAAATCTTACTCTATCTGCTATGTAAAAATCAAATAAAGTTGAATGTAATTATACTATGTAATATGAAAAGTTCTACTGAAAGTAGCAATGATAATAAAATTACCTCTTTGCTTGCTTTTGTTATATCTGTTTATTATTTAAAAGAAATATTAGAAAAAATATTAGTAAGTGTATTAATTAATAAGAGAAAAAAGGAAATGTTAATAAAAACGTTAGTGGTAAATATAGAAAATATTAGTAAAATGTTAGTAGGAAAAAAGAAAAGTTAGTAAAATAGAAAATATTAATAGGAAAACATTAATAAAAAAATTAGTAGTATTTAATATTAATAGAAAATGTTAGTAATAGAAAACATTAGTAGGAGAAAAGAAAAAAATATTAGAACATCAATAGAAAATATATATATAAAAAGAAAAAAACAAGTATAATGAAAATATACCTCTATGTTTATTTCTAAATATAAAAATAAAAAAAAAAAATATTAATAATATTATTTCATAATAATTAAGTAAAGAGTTTGTTTAGTTTGTTTTAAATAATAAAAAGTTTAAGAGAAAGGTTTTTACGATGGAAAGAAAAAAAAAAAATAAACAAAGTGCGAAATATAAACACTTAAATCATGTGAACAATCGCCTGATTACAATAACAAATTCTGATTGGCCCATAGATTTTATGTCAATCTGGATTATTATAATTAATAAAAATGCATTTAACGTTCATGCAAATTTTGTACTACTCACTATGCTATTTATAACTAGAATTACACTGCAAATTAAACTCTTTATCGCTTTAAATAATACAAAACCCTACTTATATACCATTACACCCATCCACTAACCATTTAATCTAGGTTTTTTATTAATTTAAAACCCATAATAATGCATAAGATATAATCCTTTATAATTCAGTTAACAATTAATAATTTTATGATGGAAAAGAAATGAATATGTGAAAAGGGATGAAGTGAATGAAAGTGAATTAAAAGGACAATGTAAAAAATGAAATTGGAGTGAAAAGATAATGAAAATGAAATAGAAGTGAAGAGATGATGAAAAATGAAATAGGAAATGACGAAAAACAAAATGGAAGTGAAATGGAATGATGTAAAACAAAATGGAATGATGGAAAATAAAATCGAATGATGGAAAATAAAATGGAATGATGGAAAATAAAATGGAATTGAAGGAGATAATGAAAAAATAAAATGGAAGTGAAATGGGATGATGAAAACAAAATGGAAAAGAAATGAAATGATGTAAAACAAAATGAAACAATATAAAGCGAATTGAGATGTTAAAAAATAAAGTAGAATGTTGCAAAATGATATGAAGGGATGAAAAACGATATGGAGCAATATGGAGTGATAAAAAACAATATGGAGCGATATGGAGTGATGAAAAATGATATGGAGCGATATGGAGTGATGAAAAATGATGTGGAGCGATATGGAGTGATGAAAAACAATATGGAGTAATATAGAGTAATGAAAAATGATGTGGAACAATATGAATAAGGTTGCTTGCCGAAACCTGTTTGGCCTAATGCCGAAAGGTAAAACCTCTTATATAGTGCTGAAATGTTGAAATGCCAAAACTGCAAAACCTGTCAAAATTGTGAAACTGCCGAAACATACCAAAACTTCAATAATAGGTTTTTCCGTAGTTTCGGCATAGTTGATCATAAGATTTGCATATAGTTACGCCAAGTTACACCAATTAATAATATAATTTAGATAATCAAATAATCTACAGATAAAAGATTAAACTTCAATATTTTACCATCGTCTTAGTTCTTTTAAGCTTTATCTAGTGTTAGAATTTTCATTTCTAACTCCAATATTAATATTATGATATTACACGTTTTTACAGTTTTTTTTTAAGGGGCTTATATTCATTAAAGGAAAATGCGTAACATGCATTTAATAAACCCAATTCTGTCATCTTCTTTAACACTGAACTAAAGTTTCTTTTACTTTCTTCCGTTTTCTTAATAATAATATTAATAATAAACTGTTTCAAATGACTGATCACATAGAAGATTCACCCATTAAAAAGAAAAATAGAGGAAGTCGGCCACCTAATAGCATTTGGAAAGATATTAATAAAGGAGAAGCTGTTGGTTCTGACAAATTTGCCGCCTCCTGCAAGTACTGTAAGAATACATGGGCACGCGGTGAAGTTTCAAAGCTCGAAGAGCATCTTTCAAACTATTGTCCAGATGCGCCAGCAGCAGTTGTTAGAAGGTATATAACTAAAGTAATGGAACAGCAAGATAAGTCCAAGTCATCCAAAAAAAGAAAATACTCTGAAGGTCAAAGTAACATGGATGATTATCATGATTCAACAGAGCTTAACGAACAAAGATGTACACGAATTAATCGTGCATTAGTTAAATTTTTTATTGCGTGCGGAATTGCGTTTAAAGTAGTGGAACATCCCTTTTTCATCAATTTTATAAAATAGCTTAATGCCGGGTATAATATATCAATAAGGGAAGTATTAGTAAATCAACTACTTGAACGTGAATTAGCTCAAGTGAACTTCAAAGTTAATTCTGAGCTTGAAAAGGAAACGAATTTAACGTTAGGTTTGTTAAATTAAATAAGCTATCATACGTAATTTTTATTTAATCTTACTTACTATATAATATTAATTTATAATTTAACCTTTGATGGTTGGACGTCTGGTACACATCGTTCAATTTGGAACTTCATTGTAATGAATCTGTCACGTAAAGAATATCTTTATCAACTTTCTGATTTGTCTGAAAATTCGCACACTGCAGAATATTTAGTTACGGTAATTGAAAAGGTTATAGAAGGTATTGGAGAAGATCGAATATGTGCTGTAATTTCCGATAATACGGCCAATGTTCGTAATGCACGAAAAATTATACATGAGAATCATCCAAAGATTGAGAATGTGTGATGCGTTGCACATTCTATCAATTTAATTGCATGCGACATTGTCAAGGAGAAGTTTGGAGAACGTTTATTAAAACGTATTAATATTTTGACAACCTTTTTTAGAAGTTCTCATCAGGCTAATGCAAAACTTGCTCAAATAATTAAAGAAAAAGGAATTAGTAGAAAAGGATTAAAATTATATTGCAAGACACGCTGGACTACTGCTAGTGAATCCGTAAATTCAGTAATAAATTTGGAATCAGCACTAGAAGAAATGGTCAGCGATCATGATAAAGTGCTAACAAATGATAAAATAAAACTAATTATTCAATCGAGAAATTTTTTTCAAATTTACGAGTTCTTGGATTTGTTTTGGATCCTCTAAGAAAAGCAGTACTTTCATTAGAATCGAGAAAAGCTACACTTGCAGATTGTTTCCTGAGCTTGGCAAGACTTACAGCTACATTAAAAAAGTTACCCAAATCATTAAATCCTGCATTCCGAAGTCATTGTATCAAAGTAATAAATGAAAGATTTGATGAGTTCGATGATGATAAGTATATTACTTGTTTTTTTATAGATCCCAGATTTAGAAACGCGCCACTTAAAAAATGCGACCTCATGAGAATTATCAAATGTGCAGCTTCAATCGGAAAAAATTTAGGTTTTGACCGTTACGAAGCTGAAACTTTATGTGATCAAATACAGAAATATATTAATGAACAAGAGCCATTTGACCTAGATATCGGTTTTGCTAAAGATAATCCCGTAAATTGGTGGAAATATATTAATACCGAACCAGAACCAGATGTCCTGCCAAGAATTGCAAGTTATCTATTTGCAATATGTCCTAACTCAGCAACTTGCGAACGTGGATTTTCGACTTTAGGATGGCTATTTCATAAACGTCGCTTAAATCTTAATGTGGATAAACTAGAATCCATGTGCAAATTAATTTTGTATTGGAAATCCAATTCAAAAACTGAACTTGGATTTTATGGAATTGATCAAAAAAAGAATACTCGTCTTAGTGATGATGAGATCAATATACGTATTGCAGAAGCTTTTGCAGAAGATGACGATGAGGAATATAATGAGGAGCAAGCTTCTACTCAGAGATTAACTACAAGCGGCGAAACAATACCCGAAGACAATTGCCGTGTAGTAATCGAAAGTCTATGGATTGATCAATTTGTTAATTTATCGCATGATTCAATTACTAGTGAAATCGGCGATATTCCAAGAGATATATTGGATGATTCAGATGAAAATAATGCGGAAGATGATGAAGTTGATGATAGTGGTAATAACAAGAGACCCGGAGAAGGTGACTATGATTATGATATAGATGATGTATTAGGTATGGATGACGGTGATAATAATGACGATAATTATGATGATAATGAGGAATAATAATAATGAGAAATAATTACAATAGTTAATCCAATGAGAATTAATTCTAATATCATGTGATTTAAATAATGATACTATTTAGGAAATAAATGATGTAATTATGCAGGGCAAAATATTCGCGATCAAAGTCCAGTTAACATATAATTATGCAGGCAATGCAGGCAATTGTAATTTTATATTATATTTTAAAACATTGCAATTTAATTAAGGAATAAGGATAAGCATATTATATTTTAAAAATAGTGCAATTTAATTAAGGAATAAGGATAAGCATATTATATTTTAAAAATAGTGCAATTTAATTAAGGAATAAGGATAAGCATATTATATTTTAAAAATAGTGCAATTTAATTAAGGAATAAAGATAAGCATATTATATTAGAATCAATAAGTTTTAAGGACTTCGTTAATTAAATTTATTACATTAGATCAATAAATTTTAAGAACTGCGTTACAAAAAAAAATTTAGAACTGCGTTAATTAAATTTATTACATTAGAATCAAAACTGTGTTTATTTTGTTACAAATACTTTAATTATGTAGAATGTTATTATGTTCATCAGTTCATGTTTTAAACATTATAACGAATTTTAAAATTATTATAAATATTATGAAATTTGAATTTTTTTTTCGCAATTCAAAACCAAATTGTATTTTAATTTTCAAATTGTATTTAATTTTCAAATTTCAAGTTACGAAAAAATCATAAAAATAAAAAATGGCAGCATTAGTACCTTTTGTCCCACCGCCACCACCAGTATTCCAATGGACGATTAACGCAGCTAGGCAATTAATCGCGGAGCGGAGAAACTTACATCAGCAATTCGAAAGAATTGCAAACCGTCATCATGTAAATGCATGGACAATAATAGCAAATAGGGTGTTCGTTGGAACGGGATTTGCAGCGACACCCAGGCAGTGCTATACAAAATGAAATGCCCTCAAACGAGGTTATGAAAACCTCAGTAGGATAATAAATAATAATGATGATGACATTCCTATTATAAGACCAAATAGTTTCGATAAAGCGTATTTTGCTGATATGAACGATAAATTCTGGTTACAAACCGGTAATTATTATTAATTATTATTTTAAATTAATTTTATTTAGGCAATTCATTCAATTCATTAATATTTTTATTGGATTTTAGATCTGTTTAGACGAGAGTATCGACGGCAGCATGCTGCGCATGATCGACGTCGATATGAATATAGATTGCAAAGGGAAAGAAGAAGGTCGCGATCTAGGTCATGATCAAGAAGTAGATCAAGAAGTAGAGATAGAAGACGAGATAGAAGTAGCGATAGAAGACGGGACAGAAGTAGAGATAGAAGAAGAGGTAGAAGCAGGTCCTCACATAGAAGATAAAAATATTAAAATTTAATTTTTATTATATTTTTAATCGTATATTTTATTAGTTTAATATTAAATATTATAAAATAAATATTTACATACAAAAAATCATATTGTCTTTATTCTTATAAATTGTTTAAATGCCAAAACTCTAATTAAATCATATAGAAAGTATTGCCGAAACGCTGAAACAATTTCGGCAAGTTACAGCAGTT